CTTGCCCAGATTTCCCCTCAGCTGCGGGACATAAAGTAACAAGAGTAGTAGTGGTTTGAACCAAGTCACATACATGTTCCCGTGAACTCACGCACCGGGGTGACCCATAAACTGACTGTATTCAAGCTATAGCAGCCCATAGATACAAATTCATTGTAAGAGAAACAGATAATTTAAACAACATGATCTTTAGTATTATAGCAATAACCAAATTAATGTTGCAACATTTTCTTAAGACTGTACCTAGATTAAAACATGGAAGATGGATACAAATTAGCCAGAAGATAAGGATGGAATGGAGCTTTTTTAGCAAAATTCAAATATCCTGAGGAAGAAAAGTACACAGTGCGTTTGATATGTTGAAAGGACTTGAATATGGCTGACAAAGAGCAAGGCAAAAGTAATGATTATTACTTTTATGCCAACACTTATTGAGCATTTGCTCAATAAAAACTATGCATTTCACATGCATTGATCCAATCCTTTCAACATCTCCATGAGGTTAGTACTAAGGTTATTTTCACTTGATAGGTAAGGACACTATCATCTGGCCATAGGCAGCAGCATGAAATGAAATGAGCAGGTGAAATAGATTGAGGCCAAATTATGTAGGACCTTGAGGGTCCAGTTAAGGAATTGTCTTTATGGTCAAACTATCTGCAGTTTTAAGTGGAGTATCAGATTTGCATTTATAAAAATCATTTCACTTTCTGAGTGGAAAATATAGTACTTAGCAGACCTTTCTGAATTGTTTCCTAAGGATCAGGCACTATTTTAAGATGCTTTGCAAGCATTAATTCATTTAATCCAGAGCCACGTTACTTGAGATAGGTATTATTTTTATTCTCATTTTACAGATACAGAAACTGAGATGAAAAGCAGACACATGACTTGCCCAAGGTTATACAGTTTGTAAAGGGCAGAGCCAGATTCCAACCCAGGCAAATTGACCCCAGTAGCCACACTATTAACCACTTTGTTACACTGTAATTGAACATGATGTCTTGGACTAGGGTGGTAACAGTAATATAATAATAAAGACACACGGAAGAACTTGATAAGAAGCTGAGGCCGGGCCTGGTGGCTTACACCTATAACCCTAGCACTCTGGGAGGCCAAGGCAAGGTGGTTAGCTTGAGCTCAAGACTTTCAGACCACCCTGACCAAGCCTGTGTCTACTAAAAAAAAAAATAAATAAAATAAAAATAGAAAAGTTAGTGAGGTATTGTGGCAGGCATCTGTAGTCTCAACTACTTGGGAAGCTGAAGCAAAAGGATCGCTTGAACCCAGGAGTTTGAGGTTGCTGTGAGCTATGACTCCATGGCACTCTACCCAGGGTGACAGAATGAGACTGTCTTCTAAAAAATAGATGTTGAGGAAACTTGGTGATTATGATACCAAAATTTATGATTTAAGCAACAAGAAGAGTTATTTACTGGGAAATCATGGACTGGGAAACAGGTTTTAGATAAGGAGGTGAAGAGTTAGTTTTAAAGTGAGTCTGAGTTGCCTCTGAGACAACCAATGGATAGGTAGTTGTATTTGTAAATCTAAAGAACAGAAAAGAGGCTAGCATTCAGAACAACCCTAATAGGGGATCCCTGCCTATCATTTTCTGTCATAGTATATTTCCTACCATTCCTTCCTACTACTTATCACAGAATGTAAGCTTATTGTGGCAGATTCTTCAACTGCTCACTCTTGCAGTCCCCATGCTTGGAATATAGTGGGTGCTTCACAACTAATTGACCAATGAAAAAATGCGACAGCATTAGAGAATCATATCACAAAAATCTTGGACAAACAGGAATTCAATTTCTTGCTTTACGTGTTCAGTGTCAAGGAGTACATGAGCATAAAGCAATCTTTTTTTTCCTTTGAGACAGAGTCTCAAGCTGTAGCCCTGGGTAGAGGGCCGTGGTATCACAGCTCACAGCAACCTCAAACTCTTGGGCTTAAGCCAGCGGTTCTCAACCTGTGGGTCACGACCCCTTTGTAGCAATGAAAATACATCCCGCATATCAGATATTTACATTACAATTCATAACAGTAGCAAAATTACAGTTATGAAGCAGCAACAAAAATAATTTCATGGTTGGGGGTCACCACAACATGAGGAACTGTATTAAAGGGTCATGGCATTAGGAAGGTTGAGAATCAATGGCTTAAGTGATTCTCTTGCTTCAGCCTCCCAAGTAGCTAGGACTCCAGGTGCCGCCACAATGCCGGCTATTTTTTGTTGTTGTAGTTGTCATTGTTGTTTAGCAGGCCTGGGCCTGGTTCAAACCCACCAGCCCTGGTGTATGTGGCCCTCGCCCTAACCACTGAGCTACGGGTACTGCCAAGGTCATCTTTTTTTTTAAACAGCTTTCCTAGAAAACTCTTCTTTATGTTTAATTGCAAACCTCTTATTTGAAATATCAACTTGTTAGCCCGGGTGGGGCTAGCAGGCCCTCCTATCTGAAGATTAATGATCACATTACCCTTTTCAACCCTTAGTTCCTTTAAAATGCCTGGCTTCCTGCACACCTGTTTGCCATTGCCCTTGCCATGTTGCATCTGAAGCTGATCCTCTACCCACCCCCACACATACACATTGGGGTCATAGCATGTAGAGCAAGACTATCACTTTCCTTGCTTTAACAATGTATGTTCAGGCTCAGCGCCTGTGGCTCAAGCGGCTAAGGCGCCAGCCACATACACCTAAGGTGGCGGGTTCAAATCCCCAGCCCGGGCCACCAAACAACAATGACGGCTGCAACAAAAAAATGGCCGGGTGTTGTGGTGGGCGCCTGTAGTCTCAGCTACTTGGGAGGTGGAGGCAGGAGACTCGCTTGAGCCCAGGAGTTGGAGGTTGCTGTGAGCTGTGATGCCATGGCACTCTACCCAGGGGGATAGCTTGAGGCTCCATCTAAAAAAAAAAGAACAATGTATGTTCACCAAAACTGGTCCAAACTCCATTAAACTTTTCTACTATGGCCAAGAAACATGCCATTGAAAAATAGTTAGGTCTTGGGTGGCACCTGTGGCTCAGTCAGTAGGGTGCCAGCCCCATATACCGAGGGTGGTAGGTTCAAACCCAGCCCCGGCCAAACTGCAACAAAAAAATAGCCGCATGTTGAGTCGGGTGCCTGTAGTCCCAGCTACTTGGGAAGCTGAGGCAAGAGACTCATTGCAGCCCAAGAGCTGGAGGTTTCTGTGAGCTGTGATGCCACAGCACTCTACCCAGGGTGACAAAGTAAGACTCTGTCTCTAAAAAAAAAAAAAATAGTTAGGTCTACCAAAATTTTTGCAGATTTAAGAGCACTGCCAAGCATTTTCTTGTAATTTGGAAAATAACATAGTTTCATTTTCACATCTGTTTATTCCAAAAAGTATTGCTTTTTTTTTTTTTCTAAAAGACAGAGTCTTACTTTGTCACCCTTGGTAGAGTGCTATGGTGTCACAACTCACAGCAACCATTCTCTTGCCTCAGCCTCCCAAAACACTGGGACCACAGGCACCCACCACAATACCCCACTATTTTTTGTTGTTGTTGTTGCAGTTTGGCAGGGGCTGGGTTTGAACCTGCCACCCTCGGTATATGGGGCTGGCACCCCCATGACAGGTGCCGCTCATTTCTTTCTTTCTTTTTTTTTTTTTTGAGACAGACTCTTACTCCGTTGCCCTAGGTAGAGTGCCGTGGCATCATAGCTCTTAGCAACTTCAAACTCTTGGGCTCAAACCACTCTCATGCCTCAGCCTCCCAAGTAGCTGCGAGTATAGGAGCCTGCCACAATGCTCAGCTAGTTTTTCTATATTTAGTAGAGATAAGGTCTTGTTCTTGCTTATGCTGGTCTAGATCTCCTGAACTCAGGCGATCCACCTGCCTTACTCCCCTACCCCCAGGGTGCTAGGATTACAGGTATGAGCCACCTTGTTTGGCCAAAAGTGATTGGCTTTTGATGATAGGTATAATCTATGTTACACTGTCTGGTAAAACTTGGCACCCAAAATTTGGTAAACACAGTGGCAAACATTCATTAGTGAATTATCTATTTCATGTGGTAAAATTCCTACTGCATGAGAAACTGGCATAACTATAATTATGACTAATGCACTTCTGTAAGCCCTGTAGCACTTAGCTTGACGCCTTATACACAGTAGGCATTCAATAAATATTTGATGAGTACAACTAACCACCATAGCCAGAAGTTGGGGCTCTGTAACTACCAAACATAATTGAGGCCAAATTTTTGCCCCCCCACACAAAAAAAGCAGAACATTATATACAATATTTCAAAGATTTTAATGGACCTTTAAATGAGAATTCTAATTTAGTTAACAACTGAAATATAGACAAGCATAATTTAGAAATTTAATGTGAAAAGTAAAAGACCTATCAGAAAGATAAGAACATTTTGGGAAATGCTTAGAAAATGATTTTATTCATAATATATACACTTCAAAACAGACACTTTCCATTATTTTGGTTCCTTCAAAACTTAAAATCTGCTTGCCTTTCGATTAAATTTTTCATGACAGATGCTGGATTCTGACCTATTTTTTCCCTGACATTATCAATAGGCTGCCTGACATGATACAGTTATGTTTTTAGCATTTAAATGTAAAAGACTATGGCTCAGTGTTTAAAAAATAAATTAATTAATAAAAGAGAAATATTTTTAGGGAAAAAATGAAAACCAATCACATGATAAAAAAAGTCACTCCTTAAAAATCAGTAAGTGGGCTCGGCACCTATAGCTCAACCTGCTAAGGCGCCAGCCACGTACACCTAAGGTGGCGGGTTCGAATCTCCAGCCCGGACCCACCAAACAACAATGATGGCTGCAACCAAAAAATAGCCGGGCGTTG